ATAGAGTTTCCAAAGAGTAGCTGAGGAGCTTGAAACACCAACCTATCACTGGGTTGATAGGAATGGGCAATTTAGACACTGACTATCAAAAATAGGGGGGCTATAAAGGCAGGAAGTGTCTGGCTTACAAGATTTTATAGGTGTGCTTAGTTTTAGAATGAGTGGACAAAGGAGAATCCCCACTGAGTAGTTTTCCTTTTTTTCAGCTGTGTCTGGTGAAAGGGGGGTGGGTGGGAAACAATGCTGATAGGATTTGATGATTTCAGCTGTAATTGTTAGTAGGATTAATTGTGATTGCCAAAACTGTAATTGTAGAAGATGTGTAACTAAAAGGAGGAAGTAGTTCTCTTTCATTTCAGGAACCGATGATCCTGGGACCATCATTATGGGAGAAGATGAGTGAAGCTTGAGATCCCTGCTGGCAGAGGCGCTGGCATGGAAGGACAGAGCAGCAGTGGAGTCTAGGCCATGGACTGAGTAACGCTGTGTGACTCTACACAGGAGGCAGGCTTGCAGAATGTGGCCTTTGGACATTTAAATGACTATATATTTTTTGTTTTGTATGTATGCATCAACTTCTTTTGCTTTGTTGATATGTGACATTTAAGATGAAAATGGAACCAGTGCGTATTTGGTTGTACATGTTTTATTGGAGTCCTGGTGTGGCGCTGTGGGTTAATGCGCCAGACTGCAAAGCCATTTGAACTGCAAGGTCAGTGGTTCAAGCTCACCAGCTGCTCCTTGGAAACCCTATACAGGGTTGCTATGGGTAGGAATGAACTTGACGGCACTTCACAACAACAAGTTGCAAATATGACCCTGCAGTTTTCTTTATTTACAGATTATACATATAGTTTATAGGTGTCAAGTTGACAAGGATGGAATGTAATGGTTAGGGTTTTGTGTCAATTTGTCTAGGCTGGGATTTCCAGAGGTTTGATAGTTGGGATATGCTGATTCCCATAGTGGTAAAACCTAATACAGGCATAGTTAGCTCTATGATGAGCAGCTAAAAGCATCCAATCAATTGAAGGGATGCTTCCTTGTGGGTTTGCCCTACTCCCAGTATAAAGGACACACGGGGGCGGGATGGACTCGCTTTCTCTTCTGCTGGAGACCTGAGACTCTACAATGTACAATAATAAACTTCTTTCTCTCTCTGTATACATAAATATATGTCACTGGTTTTGCTTTGCTAGCAAACCCATCCTGACACAGTCAGTTTTGCCACCTCACCTTTCTGAGCTACCTCAGAAGCAGGATTGGGGGATTTTGCTACCACTGGAGAAGAAGAGCCAGGAGTGGATGTGTCCTTTGGGCCTAAAGACCCCTATGCATTGATCTTTCCTGACCTAAGGACAGAAAGCTGTGACACCGGAGGAGTGGCAGAGGAGCAGCAACAACAGAACCAAGAACCATAGGACGAGCCCGAGTGGTGGACTTTCCAACCCACAGATCAAGTACAGCGGAGTGCCTTTGGGCCGGAGACTCACTTGTGGAGTGGGGTACCTGTAGGCATTTAATTGGGTTTGCTGATCCACTGAGCCTAGTGCCTTCAGTTTGAGGCTTATGATGGAGTGGTGTGCCTTGTGAGTGTTTATTAGCAACCCTAAAAGAGTTTTGTAACATTGTTGGAGCAGGGCAGAGGCTCGGTTAAGGGCCAGGGAAGTCTGCATGGGGAGAGGCTGTCTGAGGTGACTAGAAGAACATGTGTCCTGACCATGTCTAACCCTGAATTCTAATCTGTTAGCTTCTATAATCAATTATTAACTGCAGTCAATAATGGCAACAAATTATTGAACCTGAGTAGAGGGTACTGGGGGAGGAATGATTTAGTTATCAATTTTTGCAAATCTAGAAAGTGAAAAATTATTAACTAGAGAAGTAAAGAAGGCAAAGGGCTGTAGGGAATGGAAGGTTTCAGTTTTCAGTAGGGTGGTCAGAGTAGATGACACTTGAGTAAAGATTTAAAGAGAACACAGTGGGGTCCTGTAGTAAAATAAATGGTCATGATAAAAAAGCCCAGGCTTACTGGTTTGATAGAGACTCGTGGAAGCCCTGAGACTGTGGCCCTTAGACATGCCTCAAGTCTGGAAAGGAACTCACTCCCATGGTTCAGTTTACAAACAGGACACAGGCCTGTGAGGTGCACAGTAACCCCAGGGAGCTAGACACTCCTTAGAACAATCAACCCTTTGTGATACAAAGGGCAGCATTAGTCCAGGGAAACAGTTCAGAAGGCAGGAGGAAAGGAACGAGTGGAGACAGTGAAGCCAGGAAGGGAGTGGGAAGAGTGCGGTTACAGTGTGGGGACCATGTCAGTGTCATGAAACAAAATGATACTACCTGGTGATTGAGAGTCCCATATTCTCTGTAAACTTTCACTCAAATCCCAATATAAAGTTCAACAGTAAATAAAATGGGTGGTCAAGGAGGTAGTATTATGTTGAGATAAGAATAATTGCAGTAGAGGTAAAAGAAAAAGCCAGACAGAAGGTAAGCACAAGGATCATGGCAAGACCACGTGTGCAGAGGAGACATTTTCAAGGTGCTGCTGTAGGGTAAACACTGCACTGCTAACCACAGGTCTGAAGTTCAAACCCACTAGCTGTTTCTGCTCCTGTGATGATGTACAGCCTCAGAAAGCCTATACAGGGTCCTTTTTAAAGCATTGAAGAGCAAAGATGTCAGCTTGAGGACTAAGGTGCGCCTGACTCAAGCCATGGTATTTTCCATAACCTCATATGGATGCGAAAGCTGGCCAGTGAATAAGGAAGATTGTAGAAGAATTGATACTTTTGAGCTATGGTGTTGGAGGAGAATATTGAAAGAGTCATGGGCTGCCAAAAGAACCAATAGATCTGTTTTGGAAGAAGTGCAGCCAGAGTGCTCCTTAGAGGCCAAGATGGCCAAACTTAGTCTCTCATACTTCGGACATATTGTCAGGAGGGACCAGTCACTGGAGAAGGATATCATGTTTGATAAGGTGGAGGGTCAGAGAAAAAGAGGAAGACCCCCAGTGAGATGGATTGGCAAAGTGGCAGCATCAATGGGTTCAAGCTTGGCAACAATTGTGAGGTTAGCCCAGGACCAGGCAGTGTTTTGTTCTGTTGTGCATAGGGTCGCTATGAGTTGGCACAGACTTGATGGCACCTAACAAAACAAACCAATGCAAGACGCTACTAATAGAGACTTTACTTTCAGGATCTGGGAGGGAGGGAAGAGAGGATCTGTGGGATATCTCTGTACTTTTCTGCATGATTTAATGTAAACCTGAACCTGCTCTAAAAAAAAAGTCTTATTAGTTTGAAAAAATGTATTATTTTGGTGATCTTGTTCAAGTGGAGCAAGAGTGGCAATGGGGAGATCAGTTAAGATCAGCACTTATGATTTACTTATATTTTATAAAAATATGATTATTTTTTAAATCAAAATTTGTTTTTTCTCATAAATAGTCCTGGTGTAGTGCTGTGGGTTAATATGCTAAGTCAGTTTGAACCACAAGGTCGATGGTTCAAGCTCACCAGCCACTTCTCGGACACCTTACACAGGGTCATTATGGGTTGAAACTGACTCTATGGCACATAACAACAACAACAATAACAACAAATGATAGATTGTGATAATGCCAGCAATGATTTATAGATATGTTTTTTAAAGCATACTTTTCTTAAATGCTCATAAGATTTAGTCAGTGTGCTTATACAATTAAGGTTTTCTATTTAGAACACTCTAAGTGCCTAGCATCACATGTAATCACTCAGCAATCCCAGTACATCAGCATTCTCTTCTTAGGTGATGTGCATTGTGGGTGTAGACTACATGGTATAGTATTCTCATTTGATCGTTATGTAAGCCATTCCCCATGAGTACTTAATCTGAATTTAAGGTTCACTAAAGAAAAAACAAATTTCTTATTATATAATTTTGATTGATTTAATGAAGCTGATCATTTTCTTTTAAGAGTAATAATCCTAGTCATCATCTCATCGGTAAGGTTTGGAAGAATTAACTATTTCATCTGCATGAGAGAAGAATTCTAGCATGGTGAATTTCGTGGATACTCATTTATACTAATACTGTGTCATTTCATAGAGTGACAAATAAAAGTGGTAAAGGTAAAAAAATAAAAAGACATTTTGAGATACTATGGCTGCGTTTGCTACCCTATTTATATGCATTGATATTTGCTCCTTAGTAAATGTATCTATTTTCCTTCCCAAATAAATTCTTAATCAGTCCAAAAAGACTGGAAAGCCTTACTCCATTCAGCATCATTCAATTAATACCATTTCATTATTTGAATAAACATTTCTCTTGAGATTATTTCATTAGTATTCCAATATGTATGTTGGAGCTATATTTGCCCCTGCATTTATCTCCTTGTCCTTATTTAGACATGTGTGAGATAGGACTGAGCAACTGTTAAGGGAAATTTGGATTTTTTTTCTATGTTGATGTTGTTCCAACTCATAGCAACCCTCTATAGGATTTCTGAGGAGCGGCTGGTGGATTTTAACTGCCGAACTTTTAGTTAGCATTCCAGTGCTTAGTAAATGTTCACTGAAGATTAGATAAAATAAGCAGTGATCTACTACCATTTGAAACTCTGATTAGGAACTATTTTACAAGTATTGTATATTCTTCTCACATTACTGTTGGGGCTGGGACATAACAGTGAATAATAGAGTCGAGGTTCTTGCCCTCAGGAAGCTTACTTTCTAGAGAACTGAGAGGCACAGTAATAGAGTGGTTAAGTGCATGGAGGAATTGATATTACCCATCTCAGGGGGTTGTTGTGAAAACCAAATGAAAACAAAACACATAAGTATTTTAATCGGTACTTGGCACATAGAAGAAAATAATTGTAACCATCATAATATTTATTACTAATAGGCATTAATGATAGAGCACAAGATCAGTTTTGAAGGGTTGCTTGCTAATGAATAGAGCTAGCCTGCTGACTTTGAAGATGCTATTTTATTTTGTGATTCTTACAGTGCCGCCTCTTTGTTTAATATTTGGACCAAATACGCCCCCCGGCTGCCAGCTGCCTATTACAACGAAAAACTTCTGAAGGTTGGAGATAGCCTTTGTCAAATGAAAGTAAGTACCTCTGAAGGAAAAAGAGCCAAAATGGGGAATTCTTTTATTTTTGTTTGGTTCATTACCATTTGTCTTGGTTAGCTTATGTTGCTATCACAGAAATACAATAGATGAATAGCTTTAACAAAGAGGAGTTAATTTTCTCACAGATTAGGAGTCTAGAAGCCTAAATCAGGAAGGTAGCTTTAGGGAAAGGTTTTCTGTCTCTTGGGTCTAGAGAAATGTCCTTGCCTCTTATCCTTATCTGCTTCTGCTCCTTGCTTGGCATCTCTCTTTCCCCATTTCAGGTCTGCTTGGTTGTTGAATCTCTTTTACATCTCAACAGAGATTGACTCAAGATGCATTCTGCACTAATCCTGCCTCATTAATTTAACTAAGACAACCCATTCCCAAATGGAATTGTAACTAGAAGTATAGAGGTTAGGATTTATGATGCATATTTCTCGGGGACCTAACGCAATCCATAACATGCCATCCTTTAGCCCCCCCAAATTTTTGTCCTTACCACATGCAAAACATTCACCTTATCACATCATCTCAAATGTCTTAAATCTATTCCAAGTTCTAAAGTCTCATCTAAATCAAATATGGGTGATACTTTAGGCCTGTTCCATCATGGTGAAAAGCTCCTTTTCATCTGTGAACCTGTGAATCTAGAGCACAAGTCATCTGCTTCCGTAGTACAATGGTGAAACAGGTGTAAGATACACATTTCTGTCCTAAATGGGAGAAAAGGATAAAAGGGAAAGAAGGGATAAAAGACACCTAGCAAGGCCAAACCACAGTAGAATAAATTACATTAGCTCTCAAGGGGTGACTATAATCCTTTGTTCTCTGAGATCATTTGGGCAATGGCCCTGCCCTCGAGATTCTTGGTGTTGGCTATGGAGGCTCCCTGGCTTTGTATTCAAGACCCATAGAGATAACAGCTTTGGGTGACTCTATTCTCTTAGTCCATTAGAGTGGTGTTTCCATCTCCTCAGATCTGGAGGGCCCCATTCTTCTGCCCCTTGAGCATGATTGGGGGTGGATTACCCAAAAAGCAAGGTCAGCACATGCTGTTGTTGTTATGTGCCATTGAGTCGGTTCCAACCCATAGCGACTCTGTATAGGGTTTCCAAGGAGCAGCTGGTAAGCTTGAACCGCTGGCCCTGCGCTTCAAACCGACTTTGCAGTCCAGCGCATTAACCCACAGCAAGGACCTATATGGTACCAAACAGACACACGGAAAAGTGCGCATCTCACTGGCAGTGAACTGGCAGAGCACTAAATGACAACGATATCAGCTCCAGTGCAGGAAAGGAGCCCTGGTGGTGTTGTGGGGTAAGCATTGGTCTGCAAACGTCATGATCGGCAGTTCAAACTGACCACCTACTTGGCAGGAGAAAGATGAGACTGTTTCCATAAAGATAACTCAGTTTTGGAAACCCCACAAAGCAGTTCTACTTTGTCTTAAAGGGTCACTCTGTGTCAGAATCAACTTGATGGCCATGGGGTTGGTTTTGGTTTCCGCTGTAGGAGAATGTGCTGACTAGAAATAAAGTTCACTCAGGGTCATGACGATGCCTACGCTGTGCGGTTCCTACCACTTCAACACATTTGTTGACGACTGTCTCCTTTGGTCCCCTTCTGGGTAATTCAAACTCCGCATCTTGGTGGTGTGGTTGTCAAGTGCCATTGAGTCGTTGCCGACCCATAGTGACTCTGTATAAGGTTTCCAAGGATCAGCTTGAACCTCTGACCTTGTGGTTCAAACTGACCTTGCAGTCCAGCTCAGTAACCAACAGCACCTAGGAGTATACTCTTTCTTACAGACTGGAGATGAGGGTGGGCTGTCAAATCTAACTTTTTCTATATTCACCCAATACGTACTGGATTCAGCATGAGCACTTATTGGGTAAAGACACATTATACTAATAGAAAACAGTTCTCTGATCCTTTTTGAGAGAATTGTCTTCTTGTACATTCACATCTGCTGATCCAGCATCTCCAGCCAAGAGGGCAATGCTCTTTGCCATGATACAAACACAAAGGTATGATTTTGTGCACATCCGGGTAAGTAACCCATGAGAACTCCAGTCCTAGATGACCCACAAAAGTGAGGAAACTTGTCTTAGGCTGGGTTCTCTAGAGAAGCAAAACCAGCGAAGCTTATATATGTATATATAGAGAGGTTTATGACCCTGCTGGTATTTGAAATACTGGTGGCATAGCTTCTAGCATCACAGTAACACGCAAGGTACAGCAAACTTACAGATGAGTGGTGGATTCAGTCAAGGAAGTGAAACAAGGATTATCATTGCTGACACCAGATGGATCTTGGCTGGAAGCAGAAAATGTTTACCTGTGTGCTTTATTGGCTATGCAAAGGCTTTGTCAATGATGAACGACTGTGTGGATCATGACAAACTATGGATAACATTGTGAAGAATGGGTATTCCAGAATGCTTACTTTTTGCTTATGAGGAACCTGTACATAGGCCACAAGGCAGTTGTTTGAAGAGAACAAAGGGGCACTCAATCAGGAAAGATGTGCTTTAGGGTTGTATTGTTTCACCGTACTTATTCAATGTGTATGCTGATCAAATAATCCTAGAAGTTGGGTTATATGGAGAAGAATGTGGCATTAGGAATGGAGGAAAACTTATTAGCAACCTGTGATATGCAGATGATACAACCTTGCTTGCTGATAGTGGAGAGTTAAAATACTTACCGATGAAGATCAAAGACCACAGCCTTCGGTATGGATTACATCTCAATGTAAAGAAAACAAAAATCCTCATCATGGGACCAGTAAATAATATCATGATAAATGGAGAAATTATTGAAGTTGTCAAAGACTTGTCTTGCTTGGATTCACTATGAACACTCATGGAAGCAGCAGTCAAGAAATCAAGCGACGTAGTACATTAGGCAAATCTGCTGTACAAGACCTCTTTGAAGTGTTCAAGAGCAAGGATGTCAGTTTAAGGAACTGAGGTGTGCCTGACTCAAGCCATGATATTTTCAGTAGCCTTGTATGCATGTCAAAGCTGATCAAGGAATAAGGAAGACCTTAGAAGAATTGATGCATTTAGGTTATGGTGTTGGAGAAGAATATTAAAAATACCATGGACGACCAGAAGAACAATTTGTATCAGAAGAAGTACAGCCAGAATGCTATAGAAGTCAGGGTGGTGAAACTTCGTCTTTCATACATTGAGCATATTATGAAGAGGGACCAGTTCCTGGAAAAGGACATCATGCTTGGTAATGTGGAAATCAGTGTAAAAGAGGAAGACCCTAATGAAATTAGTTGGCACAGTGGTAGCAGTAATGGGCTCAAATGTAACAACAATTCTGAGGATGGCACAGGGAGTGGGCAGTTTTTTGTTCTGTTGTGTATAGGGTCGCTATGACTTGTAATTGACTCAACAGCACTTATCAACAACAAAATACGTACTTATGTATATGTGTGTGTGTATATATTTTTGTATGTACATATGCATATAGAGTCCTGATGTGGCACTCTGGGTTAATGTGCTGAACTGCGAGGTCGGCAGTCAAGGTCAACAGCTGCTCCTCGGAAACCCTATTCAGGGTTGCTATGGGTTGGAATCGACTCGTCAGCACTTAGCAACAACAACAATATGTGTTTATATATATATATTTGTTGTTGTTAAGTGCCTTTGAGTAGGTTCTGACCCATAGTGACCCTGTATAGGGTTTCCGAGGAGTGACTGATAAGCTTGAACTGCCAACCTTGCAGTTCAAATGGCTTTGCAGTCTGGCGCATTAATCCACAGCACCACACCAGGACTCACTCTCTCTCTCTCTCTCTCTCT